AACTTTCTGCTTCTTAATTCAGATCAAACTGAGGTTATTGTACTCGGCCCTGAAAATCTGGTTTCCAGGTCTCATCATGGTGCACTTTGCTGGCCTATTGGGGATATGGATATTATGAAGATCACGGACATTTCTTCTCAAATGTGCACATTCAGGCAGGAACACATGCACACACAAAGTAAGAAAAATGTGTTTGTGAAAGCAACTTAAAAAATAAAGAAAAATATATATTTCTTTTTATAAAACAATCAAATGTATGTGTTTCTTTCTTACATTTGCTTTGTGCTGCTGTTTATGGTTTAAAAAAATTCCATATGTTCAGATTTTTGGGGGGCTTTCATTGATATACATCATCCAAATAATGTCATGTCAGATTTTGGAGGAAGGAACAGCTGGCATACCCTAGAAACAGGAAGTGAATATTTGTCAAATTTAGCTCATGTTCTCCGACCTTCAGCTCAAGTTAAACTGAAGACTTTAACCCCACAGTTTAGTGCGGGTCTGGGCTGAGATTTCACCTGAAACAGAAATGCAATATCATCATAAAGAACACAGCAGTTTAGTTTTGACAGTTTAATTTAAAACACAGCAGGACCAACAGCCAATGAAACATTAGAACACACAGATCATCAACACAGACATCCAATGAGAAGACAAAAAAACAAAACACCCAATCAGGACATCGTGACACAAAGCCTGCCCAACAACAGCGCACCGTGCCCATTGGTGAGGGCAGGGATTACACCAAATGGGTTTTGTTTGTTTGTTTGTTGACCACAAACAGTAGCACACTTTATAAATGAAGCTGGGTCAGGTGAAACTGTTCAGAAGGGACAGGTGAGTCAGGTGCACATGTGGTGGTTGAGGGACTGTCTCTCTGCTGGCCAAGTCCTCGGGGCCAACAGTGTGAGCAGCTGCTTCCTGTTCCTGGGGTCTCTGCTCTCAGATGCTTGTTGAAGTTTGTTGTTGCTAAGACAGTGACATCAGATCACCACGAGGGATTCACACAGACATTTTTGTAATTCAGCATTTTTACAGACAGAAAATTACATACAGTTTATAGTGCTGTGACAATAAGTATCAAGTAACGACAAGAACCTTGAAAAAATGTAAAAATGTGTACAAAGATTAGTAAGAAAGAACTGATTTTGCCAGAAATAAAGATGTTAGAGGAATGCAGAATGTTTTTTTTAATCTTACAGTGTAAATTTATTAATAACAATTTTATTAATCATGCCGCCTTAAAAACCCCCACTGATCATTGTTGTGTTTCTTCTACTGTGTGAGTAGAGAGTCTGGAAGACTTCAAGTCAGTGGCAAAAAGTCCCAAAACGCAGTTTAACATCATGTGATCAATTGAGAAGGGTTGTCACTTCCTTTTTATGACATTATGAGCCCTTGATAATTTCAATCTCGGTTAGTAATCAGGCGGTATTTTGAGAAACTGAAGGAGCTACACCAACATCCCCTACAACTCCCAGAGTACATCGAATGGCCAATCAAACTGCCGAGTCTCCTAGTTTGCCATTTTCTACAGCAGATGAGAATTTCTGGAAAACTTGTAAAAGTCAGATTTCTTAATGGGGTCTATAGGTTTGTTTCCAGGAATCAAACACAAGCTGAAGTTAAAGGATCACACTGTAAACACACACTGAACAGAAAACACACTATTAAAAACAAGTGCAAAAGCTGAGAGCCACCAAGGTCAGATCTTCATAGACGTAGACTCCATAAACATTAATTCTACAGACCAAGAATCCAAAGACCAGCACACTGCACAGCAGGACTCCATGGGCCTGGACGTGACAGACCTCTAAGGTTCCTCGTGGTACCTGACACCAAGTCCTCAGGGTTGCTGAGTCTGTTTCCTGGAAGCACTCCACTTAAGCTGGGCAAACACTGTGCAGATTTTTCATTCGTGTTATTCAGCTCCTGCTCAAACTGCACGGTTGACTCGCAGGGGTGAGAAGTTCATAGGTCACAATGCAGGTCTCACACTATACCGCCCGATGCTCTGATGCGACCTGAGTCACACTGTGTGTCCATAACATGAAGCTTATAACAGAAAACCTGTCTCTCGCTCTCTGTCTTTCACTCACACAGACACACCACCACCATCATCTTTGCTAAACTGCTAATGAAAAACATGATCAGCTGTGACTGAGCAGCATGTAGATCCAACTATTTCCACGGTTGTTGTGGTCGTGATAATTCTGTGAGGCCACATGGAAAAGGCTCGGATGAGCCAAAGTTTTACAAGTTGTGCCTCCATCGCTTGTGTCCAGATCACACGCTGCACTGCCGTGCTGCTTCTTTTCACTTTCATTTCTGTGTTTGCGCGTGCGCAGCGTGAGAGGCTGCGGTGACGCCCTCTCGACGGCCGACGGGATTTCAAACAGGTTTGATTTTCTTACGACCGAGCGATTGATGATCGGGAGCTGGTCGTGAGGTGTTAATCGCTTCTCGTTACCCCACGTATACTACACGACACACGATGAAGGCGAAACTCGGGCTGATGACCAAAACAAGCCAAAAAAAATCGCACAGTGTAAGCCCAGCATTATCAGCACCTGACTAAACTCGCTGATATTTGCAAGCTTGATGTTATCATATCTGTCCCACCTTTTTCCCTTTGCATATGAAAGGTCAGAGGATTGTGGCTCTCTATTCTCTTTGTTTTTGCATTCATGCTTACCTTTACAGAGGAGGGAGAGCCTCTAAAGAGCTCGTGTATTCATTCCTTTTTGGGGTTTTTTGTTTGTTTCTCAGATTACACAAATGAAGTTTGGCTTTTCTGAGTTTGTCTGTAGATTAGTTCAGTATTTGTCTTTACACAGTTATCTGCCCTCAGAGTTTAAAATGTGTTTACTCACTAATCTCTTTGTTTATGGTCTTTTTTCTACTTGTTATTGTTTTTAATCTGTTATTAGGTCCATTTTTAAGTCTAGGAAGCTGCGGTGTTGATAAAGTTTGAATGAATAGTCTTTACAGGACAAAGAAACAGTCAGACACATGAACATTTGTTTTTGTGCTCTGGTTTTCGTTTCTGTCAGTTATGAATGAGACTATGAATTAGATCCAGTCCAGCAGATCCAGATGACGAAGTGCAGTTCACCCTAGAAAATGGTCTAATGTTGGTTCAGGTTCATACTCACCTGACAATTTACAAAGTCTAGAACCATGAGAATCTACTGAGAATGATGGTTCTGGTCCCATTCAGGTTTGTCCAACAAAACCACAGACAGTTTGATAGTCCCAGTTCACTTTGTTAAACAAAACATGAGTCTAAATCCAGGAATCGGGAGGCATGAGTGCAGTGAGACAGGAGTTCCCGGCAGGTTTTCTGAAGATTTGGAAGGACCTAAAAGGGTTCTATAAATGTTGTAGATGGTTCTGTAAGGTTCTTTCTCAGACATGTTCTCATCTCATCTTCCTCAGTCTGGTTCTGTTCTCTTTCTCTCGTTTCTTTAAGGCTGTGATGTAATGGCTAAAGAGTACTTCCTGTTCCTTCTTCCTGGTGAGAGTGCTGAATCGCTGGTCATCCCGATAACGAACACAAAATTCCTTAAAAGTTGTTCTGGAGAAGAAAAACAAAACAGGAATATTCATATTTTGATATGAGAGCTGGAAACAGTCATTCTGATGGCAGCCCTTTTTTGGCTCATTAATGAAAAAATATTTTATTTTAACTGCAAATAAGAGAACCTCAATAAGGAACGAGGAACCAAAAGCATTAAACTGAGCTGAATGGTAAATGGCCTGTATTTATATATAAGCGCTTTACACGTCCAGTCATCCACACACACACTGGTGATGGCAGCTACATTGTAGCCACAGCCACCCTGGGGCGCACTGACAGAGGCGAGGCTGCCAAATCGCGCCATCGGCCCCTCTGGCCAACACCAGTAGGCAACGGGTGAAGTGTCTTACCCAAGGACACAACGACCGAGACTGTCCGAGCCGGGGCTCGAACCGGCAACCTTCAGATTACAAGGCGAACTCCCAACTCTTGAGCCACGATCGCACAATGTATAAATTGCTTAATAAATTTTAGATGCTTTACGTTATGGCGAGAGTAAAACTTTAAAACATGAAACTTGAAGGATTCTGGGGGAAAGTGACTCTTAGTGCTGTATCCCGCCCGCTCTATGGTGAATACGTCTCACAGGGTTTATGATCGTTATGTCCTTCATGTGCCCAGAGATTATTTATACATTTCAGTATAGCTGTGTTAAAACATTCAACTGATGTGACGTGTGTGGCTTGTAGATAGTTGTGTCAGAACCACAGTGTGCTCAGTGATTACCTCAGGCAGCAGAAACCTGAGAAAGAAGAGGAGCAAGAACAAGAGCATCATGAAAGTACAGGCCCCTGCATGACATGTACCACTGTTCGAAAAAAGAAGTAGCTCACACCCAGAAACTGTTATGGTCCTGGGTCATTTGACCCAGCATTTTGTTTATTATTATGATCTTATGTTCTAGTTTATTCTGATTACGTATCCAGGTTAAGACGTTCTAGTTCTTTGGTTTTAGTTTCCGTTCTCGGTCGGTATCGTGTCTCTGAGTTTTGTCAGTGTATATTTCCTGTCTTACATTGAAGCCCTGTGTCTCTTGTCTCGTCATATTAAATAGCATCAGCTGCTCCTCCTGTTTTGCCATTCCTCGTCTCCTTCCGTGTATATATACTGTGTGTTTATGGCGTTATTTTTGTGCCACTATTCTGAGCGCTCGTAAAAAAAATTTGCAGGTGCAAGTGTTGTATTTTGAGTAGAAATTTATTTTGAGCGAAGAAAAGCTAAATTTGAGTGAACAAAATTCATTCCTGTGTGCAAAAGCTGTATTTCAGTGTTTGCTATTATCCACACACACAATAGCAGCCCCTCTAACTCAGGTTTTGCATCTGCGCTTGCTCGCAATGGCATCTCTGAAAACGTAAGAGCACTTATGCAAATATGCGATGTCTTGATACATCGAGCAGATCTTAGAAGTTTACACAGAAACATTCCATGGAGGCATGTTGGTTTCTTGTTCCGTCTCCTTTTCAGATTCTTCTGAGGAGGTATCAGTGGCCTGCTGGACCAATGAAACCTCTCCTGCAGTCATCGGTGTAGAGGATGAAGAGCAGGGGGGAGAGCACACAGCCCTGGGGGGAGCCAGTGGAGGTGGAGCGGAGAGAAGAAAGAGAGCTGTTGACCCGAACTTTCTGAGTCCTGTTGGTCAAAAAGGTCAATATCCACAGGCTGATCATCCAGGTGAAATCAGGTGGAAAGTTTAGTGGGCAGGATACGAGGCTGCAGAGTGTTGAACGCTGATGAGAAATCAGCAAACAGAAGCCTGGGGGAGGAGTCAGGAGCTCCAGATGTTTGTGGATGGAGTCCAAGATGAAGATTTTTGCGTCATCTACACCTCTGCGTGCACGGTAAGCAAACTGGAGTGAGTCCATCAGGGGTCAGTTGCTCTTACCATGTGCTGTTTTATGATCTTCTCCGCCGAGCGGAAAAGTCGGAGGCTGGGCTGCAGTTGCATCCGCAGCTGGATGAGGGAGTCCCTGGTGTAGGTGAGCCTTGGGGTCATGTTGAAGTGTTGGAAACAAGTTCGAAAAAATCACAAAAATGAGGAAAAGGAAAAGAATACAAATATACCGAGTAGACGGCGAAATACAACAACAAAAAGAGCAGCGACCCGGAACTGGATCTCGGAGATTTGTCAGTTTAAGTATATCCTTCATGAAATTTATAACAAAAAAGGAGAATATGCCCACTTTCATCTTAAAACTAATTTTTATGAGAATGGTGAGAAGACAGGCAGGCTATTAGCAAGACAACTTAAGCAAATGAACAATCAGAATGTTATTACAGCAATGAAAACGATGCTAAATTAGTTACATCCTCTTCGGAGATCAACATGATTTTTAAAATATTTGATCAAGTATGGATTTGCTGAATGCATTCTTTGATAAAAGGAAAATAAATAAAAATTTCACAAGAGGGTAGGGACAAATTGGAAACTCCTAACTGAGGTAGATGTAAGGAAGGTATCCATGCAATGAAGGCTGGAAAGTCACCGGGAATAGATGGCTTCCCAGCAGAGTTTTATCACAGATTTATAGACTTGCTATGTCCACTTTTAACTGAAGTATTACATGAAGCGTTTGAATATGGACGGCTCCCTGCAAGTTTTAATCAGGCAGTGATATCACTAATCCCCAAAGGCGACAAGGATTTAGTAACAAGGCTTGTACTACCACAAATTATCCATAAAGATCAAGTAGGGTTTATCAAGAATAGATCTGCTTCTGATAATATGACATTACTACACCTGCTGTGGCTGAATAGAAATAACAAATCCTGTATTGGCTATATCTTTAGATGCACAGAAGGCTTTTGATAGGGCGGAGTGGAGTTTTCTGTTTACGGAAAAATTTGGAAAAGGTGACAACTTTTGCAGATAATTTTTATTTGTTGTTGTTTTTGTTTGTTTGTTTGCTTCTTGCTTTTGGTTCTTGTATTTGTTGTTATAAAATGCAAAATCTGATAAATACTTGAATTGTACAAACAAAAAAACAGTTCTGTTTCCGGAGCTGAATTAGCCTAGTTCTCTAATTCTTGGTGCTAATGAATCATTCTCCGATGAATTTTATTCTGGTAGAAATACCTCATCTGCATCTCCAGTTTGTCCCAGCGACTGGTCGATAAACAGCTGCCAGTCGAGGTGAGGTCATATTTTACAGGAACATAGCTGAATAATTAAGAATAATGAATGAGGAATACCTGCTGGTGATCTTTGCTTCCTCCAGCAGCTGTTTGAACTCTTCTCTGGCTTTCTGCAATTTACTCTTCTTCTCTTTGTACTCATCCTTCATCCTGCTCTTCACAAACTGATCAAACACCTGGACGCATACAGGTAACACTGATGTCATCGTGACATCATGACATTGCATGAAAATGTTAGAAATGAAAGTAATCTTTAATTTGCCAAACCTGTTTCCTCTGATCTGAAGTCAGCAGCAGGTATCGAGGGTCAAATACCATCTTATGAAGCTCCTTCTCCCAGGTGGAGAATGCAGACACCTGAGGAGAGCCACAGGTCAATATTTAAATTTAATGGTTCAGTCTGTATTTATCCTGGCAGGGTGACTCTTAATAAATCTAATTTATATGGAGGTGCATTACACATATTGACTAAGATCAATAATGCTATCTATACAGTTTTTTAATCCTCAAACCAACATGAGGTGAAAAAGAAACAATTTTAAACACAAATACAAAAAAGAGACACATACAGATACACGTAAAACATAACTGTAAGTCGGAGAATTGTGGCTGTGATGAAGCTCAATTCTGTCTTTCAGTGAATGAAGATCGATCATTGTTCTTCAGATAGTGGGGGTCTGATCCACCAAATCCAGCAGGATAGGAGTAATGATGGATCCAAAAGTGCAGACTCAAAACAAAGATTTATTACCACATGACAAAAACAAAAAACTGGCTGAACTGGGAATACAGAAACTAAACTGGCAGGCAGATGGATGGAACACACAGCGTGGGATGATGGTACAAACAGAAAAGTAGAGTGTATAAACAGAACCTAAGGATTACCTATACTGGGAGAACTGACAAAACAGACCTAAAGCCTGTTGATACGGAGGGAGAAACTCAGGGAGATGACACAGAGGGAGCAATCAGTGAATGGGAGACAGAAGGGAAACACAGCTGGGCAAATCAGGGCAAAGCAGGGGAAGCAAAACCTGATACAATCAGTGCTGGGCAAGTTACTTTGAAGAAGTAATTAATTATAGTTACTAGTTAATTCTTCAAAAAAGTAACTGACTTAGTAACTGAGTTACAAGATCCTAAAAGTAATTAATTACTTCAAAAGTAACTATTGCGTTACCTTAAAAAAAAAAGTTTAACCAGGGTATAATTGTCCATTTTTAACTACTTTAGATTGTCCCGCTACATTTCACCTATAAAAACTATTTACTTTGCCTTGTTTGGTATCATCCTTTTCAGCACAACCTCACGTGTCTGAATTTACAGTCATGTTTTCATTTTGACAAACTGTATTAACACAATTGATCTAAAATCAGACAAAAAACATAAAATCTGAGTAGAAAAAGTTATATTTTTACTGTAACAACCACAAACATGTTTATTGAATCATATTTCATAACTTGAAATGCAAATATAAACTGTCAATTTTAAAATCATATGCACAAGTTTTGCAAACAACAAAGTTATTTGCAGCCATTTACCTTTTACCCTTTTTTAATAACCATTTCACTAGCTGGGACCACATCCTCGGTAACGATGGGCGATGAGGGATGAGGAAGTGAAAACTGGTGCTGCGGCGACGGCTCTCGGGCCGGGCAGAACCCCCAAGAAATCATCCCCTACGGGAGTGAAGACTGGGCATTACAGAGGTCTTGGAGATTGTTGCGAATGTATAACTGGTAGGCTTGTGATGACCATCGACCCAGGAGCTTGATTAGGTGGTCAGAGATTCCTTTGCGGGAGGCAGAAGTTGCGGCGCCGATGAGAAAGGAATGGCCAGAGAAGAGATTTGGAGGAATCCCAGAAGACGAGAGCACTTGGCGAAAGTGTGAGAGGAACGATGACCTGGTCGGGGCGTGGCCAGATTCAGTGATGAACGGTGGATCTGAAGGTAAGGCGTGCTGAGATTTTCTGAGGTGGAGGCAATGGGTTACTGATTCGAAGGGACTTAAAGGTGAGTTTATTTTGAAATAGTATATAGGCGTGGGGCTGCCGGATTGATTGGTTTTGCTTCGTTTGAAGAAGAAAATGAGGCAGTCTTCAAAGACTGGGTGGATGTCGCTCAAGCACAGGTGAAGAGTCGAATGGGATTTTGAAGATGAGGAGGTGAATTCGGAACAGCGTAAGAAGCCGAAGAAGGCGAGCAGAAGTGTGCGTGCCAGGAAGTAGTCGCTACTTCAGCCGGAGGGTAGAGATGCAGCGATGTAGAAGATCTGAAGTTAGGGGTAAGCGGTGTAGGGTCGTGGCAGGTGACTGGCGCTGGAGACCTTTGATGAGTAATGATATCTGGGACGACATAATGGTTGGGCATGGCGAACCTGTGAGCAGCTTGGCAAAGAAATTGATGCCGCTGAGGTACGTGTTTATGGTGGGAATCTTATTCTTTTTTAAAAAAATTTTATTTCCAAATTTGTTTTATTGATTTCAACAATGACATACAAAGTTAGCAACAGCAAAGTCAATCTTGATTTCAGAACAGTTGTATGTCCATTATACCCTCCAACCCCCCTAACCCGAATTCTCCCCCTACCAGGTCCACACTAGACATGACGCCGCAGAGAACCAGTCTCTGCCCACACACACACACACACACACAAAAACCCCCAAAAAACCAAAAACACATCTCAAGACCCATATATGTAACAAGCATAACCCCCAAAAAACAACAACCCCCCCGCAAAAAACAAACAAAAACAAACAAAACAAAAACAGAGGAAACAAAAGCAGAGAAGGGACCAAACAAAACAAAAGGAAAAACAAGTAGATAAGGTATAAATAAGATTTAAAAAATAAATAAAAAAGATATGAAAATAATTTAAAATATATATATATATATATATATACTTTATAATGTAGCTTCGCTCAGTTCACTTCAGACTCAGTGATGGTGTCCACCAGCAAGAGAAATGATTTCCAGATTTTGTTAAATTCCTTAACAGAACCTTTTAGAGAGAATCTAAGTTTTTCCAACTTTAAGTTAAAAAGTACATCTCTCACCCAATGATCATGAGTTGGGGAAGCTTCCACTTCAACAGAATAAACCTCCGAGCTAGTAAAGTGGTAAAGGCTAGGGCCTGTTTGACGGGGCCAGATGAGTTCAAGTCGGGAGGAATGCCAAAAATTGCGGAGAGTCTAAAATTCTAGTGTCTAAAATTGGGCAGACCAAGACCACCGTCAGCTTTAGAGGACCGAAGAATAGACTTGCGAATTCTAGCTTGTTTCCCTCCCCATATGAAAGGTGACAGAATCTTTTCTAACTTGTCAAAAAATGCCTTGGTAAGAAGAATTGGGACATGTTGAAAAAGATACAAGAATTTTGGGAGGACACTCATCTTTATCAGGTTAACTCTCCCTGCCACTGACATGGTAGAGAAGTCCAACGGTCACAATCTTTCCCAACATTTTCTAGTAGGGATAGAAAATTCTCCCTCATCATTTTATGTATAGAAGAGGAAATAAAAACCCCCAAATATCTAAATCCGGTTTCTGTCCACTTAAAAGGCACTATTGAGTGGGGAAGGGCTCTGGCCAGGGAATTGAGGGGTTGCAACTCGCTTTTTTGATAATTGAGCTTACCGTATTTTCACGACCATAAGGCGCACTTAAAAGTCTTAGATTTTCTTCAAAAAGTACGGCGCGCCCTATAGCGCAGTGCGCCCTGTGTGTTGTAAGGAGGACGTAGTAGAGAACACCATGAGAACGCTAAAGGGTGAAGTGTGGGCGCAACCCTGAAAATGGCAAAGAGACACGCTTATGAAGCACAGTTTAAACTGAAGGCCATCAGCTACGCGGAGGAACATGGAAATCGAGCAGCGGCGAGAGAATTTAAGATTAACGAATCGATGGTTCGCAAATGGAGGAAGCTGAAAACAAGCTCCGGCAGGTCAAGAAAACGCAGCTGAGTTTCCGCGGACATAAGGCGAGGTGGCCCGAGTTGGAGGAAAGACTCGAGCGGTGGATCATCGAGCAAAGAGCGAGCGGGAGAAGCGTTTCGACGGTCACCATTCGGCTAAAAGCAGTTTCACTTTCACTTTTTATGAAACGGTGCCATTTTTCCATCCGGACCAGGACTACGGTAGCGCAGCAACTTCCAGCGGATTATAAGGAAAAGCTGGCCATCTTCCGCTCCTACTGCAGCAAACACATCGGCGACAAAAACATCCAGCCCAGCCACATCACAAACATGGACGAGGTCCCGCTCACTTTTGACATCCCGGTGAGTCACACTGTGGAGAAGAAGGGGACCAGCACAGTAGCGATACGCACAACGGGGCACGAAAAGTCTTCTTTTACTGTTGTGCTTGGCTGCCATGCTAATGGACAGAAACTGCCGCCTATGGTGATTTTTAAGCGAAAGACTTTGCCTAAAGAGAAGTTTCCAGCAGGAATCATCATTAAGGCAAATGAAAAGGGCTGGATGGATGAGGAAATGATGAAAGACTGGCTGAGGGAGGTGTATGTAAGGAGACCAGGTGGTTTTTTCCACGCATCACCATCGCTGTTGATCTGTGACTCTATGCGTGCCCATCTCACAGCCGATGTGAAAAAACTTAGTGAAACAAATGAACTGTGAGCTTGCTGTCATTCCGGGAGGCCTGACAAAGGAACTCCAACCGCTGGACATCGGTGTGAACCGCCCGTTCAAAGTAAGGCTGCGAGCGGCCTGGGAGCGATGGATGACCGATGGAGACCACAGTTTCACTAAGAGTGGAAGGCAGCGCCGGGCGAGTTACGCCACAATTTGCCAATGGATTGTAGATGCTTGGGCTAACATGTCTGCTGGCACTGTTGTTCGAGCTTTCGCAAAAGCCGGCATCGTTTCCGAGGAGCCGCACGGCACGGAAAGTGACTCTGACGGTGAAGAAAGTGAACCTGGCATGTTTGATGGAGATTTAGCGCAGCTGTTCAATTCAGACACAGAGGATGAGGACTTCGATGGGTTTGATATGATAAAAATGTGAGTACCAAACTTTGTTTTGCTCCTGCTTTATTTTTAAATACGCACACTTGTATGCTTGTGTGTTGTTGATGATGACGATTACCGGCAATAGAAATGTGAGTAAGGTACCGAACTCAGGTTTGCTCCCGCTTTATTTTTAAATACGCATACGGTACTTGTATGCGCCCTATGATCCAGTGCGCCTTATGTGTGTGTTAAATACAGTAATGGCACACATAACTGAGACTGCGCCTTTTAGTACAGTGCGTCTTATGGTCGTGAAAATACGGTATATCCTGACAGTGTACCATATTGGTCCAGTATGTCAAAAAGCACTAGGAATGAGTTTAGAGGGTCAGAAATGTACAGGAGCAAGTCGTCTGCATAAAGGGAGAGTTTGTGGGTCACACCGAACCTTGCCATATTGCAAGAGGCTCGATAGCAATGGCGAATAGGAGGGGTGAGAGAGGGCACCCTTGCCTAGTGCCCCTCTCAAGTGGAAAAGGCAAAGACAAGTTGTTGTTAGTACGAATACAGGTGGATGGCGAGGAATATAGTAGCTTAACCCAGAGAATAAAGTCAGCCCCTAAGCCAAACCTATCCATCACCTCATAGAGGAAGCTCCACTCGACGCGGTCGAAAGCTTTCTCCGCGTCAAGAGATACCACAACCTCTGGAATTGAGTTGCACGATGTGTGGATAATATTCAAGAGGCATCTTGAATTGTCATATGAGTGCCTGCCGGCCATAAATCCCGTCTGATCAGAGGCGATAATTTGTGGCAGAACACGTTGTAGCCTAAGTGCGAGGATTTTAGATAGTATTTTAAAATCAATATTTAAAAGAGAAATTGGTCCGTAACTGCTGCACAACAGAGGATCCTTGTCCTTTTTCAAGATTAAACAAATAGTAGCTTCGGACAAAGTCTTGGGTAACTGACATTTTGAAAAGGCTTCATTATACATATCTTTCAACAATGGTGCCATAAGATCAGAATTAGCTTTATAGTATTCTGCAGAGTAACCGTCAGGGCCCGGCAATTTACCTGTCTTTAAGGATTTAATGGCTTCTTGTACCTCTACTACAGTAATAGGTCCCCCTAATCCCTTCATCAGATCTCTATCTATTCTTGTAAAATGTATATTTTGGAGAGTTTCTTCTGATAGAGGGGGAGAGCTTGAAGTGTACAGATTGGAATAGAAACTAACAAATATTTCATTAATTCCCTCTGGGTCCGATATTATGTCACCAGCAGCAGACTTGACCTTTGGGATTAGCTTGGAGGTTGCTTCGGCACGGGCTTGATAGGCCAGAAGTTTCCCTGCCTTGTCGCCGGATTCAAAAAAGCGTTGCTTAGTCTTAATTAATTGAACCATAGCTGTTGCGGTGGTGGTTAAATTGAGCCTGGCTTGAACTTTCACACGTTCTGTATAGAGGTTAGGATCTGGGTTCGATGCATATCTGCCATCTAGATCTTTGATCTTATTCAATACACTGGACGTGTAAGATAACTCTTTCTTCTTTAAATTTGACACAAAGACTTTCGACGTTTCCCATAATACCTCTCGACACTTCAGTACAGTCATTCAACTCAAGGAAAAGTGAGAACTGTGACCTCAAAAAATGTGTGTAGTCATCCCTTATCAACAGGCTAGAGTTAAATCTCCGATGTTTAATGGGTCGAGACGGGGTCGCTAATACCACATCAAAAAAAACTGGTGGCGATAGCATGATACTGACAATGGCTAATTTTACAGAGAAACCTAATATCGACAAGAAAAAAGTCTATACGTGTATATGTATGGTGGGGATGAGAGAAAAAGGAAAACGCCTTAGTAGTAGGATTCGCATGTCGCCATGGATCCACAATCCGCAGCTGAGTTTTGAAAAATTCTGGGGTTTTAGCAGATTTATTCAGGGAACAGGCCTTAGTTGACGATCTATCCAGCAGAGCGTCCTGAACCAAGCTAAACTCACCTCCAATAATAAGATGATAGTTTTCCAAATTTGGAAGAGAAAAGTTTAGCTATAAAAGAGTCGTCGTCCCAGTTCAGCCCGTACACGCTGCCAGTATCACAAGTGAGCCCTGCGAGTTTGCTGACACAAATGTGAGACGGCCATCGGGATCAGCAATAACTTTATGTTGCTCAAACAGAATATTATTACGAATAAGTATGGCTCCCTCTAGCCTTGCCGTTAAATTTGGAGTGATATATAAGTCCCGATCCAGTTTCTCTTGAGTCGCCTCACTTCTTTGTTGCAGAGATGCGTCTCTTGAAGAAAAAACACATCTCCTTTAAGCTGCTGTAAATGTGCCAGAACTTTGTTAATTTTGGTTGCATTCCCCACACCTCTCACATTCCAGGAGACAATTCTAAGACCATTGATTGTGCTCGACATATATGTCGGCAAGATCTCACTATGAAAATATAGTGAGACCTTGCCACCTCACTATATTTTCAATATTCTGCTAGAAAAAATTGAGGAACTAGGATGTATCTTACTATACTTTTGTACTACTTTTGTAGCTTACTATACAAAAACGGACAGAAGAAAAGCACAAAAAAGGCAGGCTGAGGTATTGTTGTCCTCCATTTGTACATGGCAGGAATCAAACTGTAGGAGAGGCAATAATAATGAAAGAATGTGTGCTTATATAAAGTAAAACAGTATATACATATATGTGTACGTAGCAGACTAGCATGCCAACAGTGGCATTAGAACAAAATATAAACAGCGGTATTGTAAAGGAAAATGAAAGAAAAACACTATATACATATGAACAGTATCAACAGGAACAAAAAAGTATAAAATCTACAAATATACAATTGGGTGTAAAAGAGAAAAAAGTACATATGTAAATAAATACAGTTTGGGTCATTGCACATTGAATTTAGTATTGCACAGTGGTGGCTTACAGATGGACATGGGAAAAATCAGAGGGTGGGACTGATGGTTATGGCCTTTGGGAAGAAACTGTTCTTCAGTCTGTGGGTGTTTGTGCTGATGCACCTGTAGCTCTTCCCTGAGAGAAGCAGGCTGAACAGGTCAAAGCCAGGGTGGGACTGTCCTTGATGGTGTTTGTTGTTCTGTTGAGGCAGTGGGAGGAATGAATGTCCATCAGGGAAGGGAGATACAATACAATAATACATTCTCTGTATGCATTACTGTAGGGTCTACCTTACAATATAAAGTGCCTTGCAGCGACTGTTGTTGTGATTTGGCACTATATGAATAAAACTGAATTGAATTAGAGGGCAGCTGATGATCTTCTGTCCTGCCTTGACTACACTCTGAAGTCTCACTGTCTGCCTTAGTGCAGCTGCTGTTGGGCCTTCTTGATGACCGCTGAGATGTTGTCTGTCCAGGAGATGTCAGCAGAGATGAGGACACCAAGGAACC